ATGCCCCTCTTTTTTACTAATTCACAATGCCTCTCTTATTTTACATGTCTTTCCAAATTCATAATGCCCCTCTTATTTTACATGTATTTCTAAATTCACAACGCCTCTCTTATTTGACATGTCTTTCTAAATTCACAATGCCCCTCTTTTTTTACATGTATTTCTAAATTCACACGCCTCTCTTATTTTACATGACTTCCTAAATTCATAATGCCTCTCTTATTTTACATGTCTTCCTAAATTCATAACGCCCCTAATACTATGCAGAAAGGTAGCTCTGTCCAATACCCGACTATGGTATATGTTTACGAGGAAGTTGTGAAGGGGAAGTTCTGACAATGTAACGGTCACCATGTGGTAAAAGTCCGTTGTCTAATTGTGTGTGAAGTTGTCTGTTCCTGTCGAGTTTATGTTAAAACCAACGCGCTTTTCGAGCAAAAAAAAATCCCACTCGTAAGCCATTGTTTGTGTCGTGCATCATATTAAGTATTATACTTCCACCTTCTTCACATGACTTTGAAAAGTGTTGACTTCATCACACTGTGCACTTCTCTTCCGTTTTTTTTTTTTCGCAGTCGTCTCAAGCGCCCGCCCCTTCATGCTCATGGCTGCCTCCTCGGCGTAAAACAAATCGCATGACGCATCATACCTGGTTCATGTCCTATTGACTCTGCTCTGAGACACGCACGTTCTCACCATGCCCAGAGTCAAGGAAATGCCGTGCAAACAGTGCGGCCAGATATTTCCCAATCGAGGGGCAAAGGAACAGCATGTCTCTCGGGTGCGTTCAACCACTCGGCGATCTTTGGAGCAACCGAGGCATCAAATCTCACGATGCGTTGGCAATAGGTCCATCAAAAAAGCACGTCCGTCAGGCTCAATGGGCAAACCATCATGAGGCACCGAGAAGAAGATGGGAACTTTCATTGCCCGGTGGAGGGATGCGGCTACCGCCATGATCGCTCAGCCACCCTCAAATCCCATCTCCAGCGTGTGCATGAAGAGGAGACACCTCCTGTGCCTGCAACACGTGTTCCAACCAATGAATGCCCTTCCGCTGGTTTAAAACAAAGACGTGTGCGAACACGAAAGCGCAGCGTCAAGCTTGATAAGCAACAAGGTGCTGTTGGGGCTCAGATGTTCATGACCGACATTGGCTGCTTGGTGACTCCCGCGTCTTCAGGGCTGGTGTGTACTCATTGTGGCCATGTCCTCAGTGGTAATGTGCCCCA